AATTGTCAACATTTAGAGACTTCATAATAGTTCACTAGTGTAATTTTATATCTGTTGAGCATACTAATAAAATTGGGACTTGTGTTTTGTATATCTCATTTTTCACTTTATTTTTGTAGTATTGATTTTTGCATTTTCTAAAAATATTGTTCCACAATGTGTTGGAAAACAAACAAACAAAACAAAACCGGTCTTTCATTACAAATATTTTGAGAAGCACAAATATGGAATATTTAATGCAATGTTTGTCGCATTGAAAACTTTCGACAACTATGCTGGTTTTCAAATACAAATAACTCCTTTTTTATCTTCCGTTTTTGAACTTAGCCTGAACTCAGAAGAGAGATTTACACACAGTAGAAATTTAATACATATTTCTACTGATTCTTGGAGATACTTCATAATATTTAATGTGCCACTATACCCCCAGCTCAGCAAGGTTGATGGAACTTTTTATAATTCTTTTTAATCAGGAAGCCTGAAAGGTCAGAAGGACCTTAAACTCTTTCGTAGCTATTCCTATCCATAACTATTTGAATATATCATGGCAGTTTTTGTGTGTTACCTTCTTGGTTAAGACAAGGAAGGGGGCCTGATGTGGTGGCTCATGCCTGTAATTCCAGCACTTTGGAAGGCCAAGGCAGGAGGATGACTTGGGCCCAGGAGTTTGAGACCAGCCTGGGCAACATAGCAAAACCCTATCCCTATCAAAAATACAAAAATTAGCTGGGTATGGTGGTGCACACCTGTAGTCCCAGCTACTTGAGAGGCTGAGATGGGTGGATGGTTTGAGCCTGGAAGATGGATGTTGCAGTGAGCCGAGATCACGCCACTGCATTCCAGCCTGGGCGACAGCCAAACCCTGTCTTTCAAAAAAAAACAAAAAAAAAACAAAAAAAAAAAACCCAGAAAGAGAATGAGAAGGAGAAGATCTAATGAGAAGGAAGTACTGGAGATTTTTCAGTTTTGTCATTCAGTTTTTGGAAAGTACATAGTTGTAATTATTTAGTGTTCATTCCTGTTTTGATACAATTTAGTGCCATTTACAATATCCCCTTTATTGTTAGCAATTGTTTGTTTGTTTTTTTTTTTTTGGATTAGAGTAGCACTGTACTGTTTTTTAAATGAAATCAAATTGTAGTTGAGCTTATCTATGACACAATAAATATAGACCTTCAAAGGCTGTTAGCTTACCATGGTGCTTGTATGTTTGAGGGACATTTTTTTTTTTTTTTTTTTTGAGACGGAGTTTCACTCATGTTACCCAGGCTGGAGTGCAATGGCGCAATCTCGGCTCACCACAACCTCTGCCTCCTGGGTTCAGGCAATTCTCCTGCCTCAGCCTCCTGAGTAGCTGGGATTACAGGCACGCGCCACCATGCCCAGCTAATTTTTTGTAGTTTTAGTAGAGACGGGGTTTCACCGTGTTGACCAGGATGGTCTCGATCTCTTGACCTCGTGATCCACCCGCCTCAGCCTCCCACAGTGCTGGGATTACAGGCTTGAGCCACCGCGCCCGGCCGAGGGACATATTTTTTATACTATTTGGGGTCATGAAATTGCCACTCTCAATTTAAGGATAAAGGAAGGTCAGTGACTGAGCCAAGTGACTCTCCCCAGATGTCACCGCTTCAGAAATTTTGTTTATAATCCAAGAGTCCTTAGAAATAAGATCCCTTTGACTTATTGATGTCATTTTGGCAAATTAAAAACAATTATTTGAATATTAAGAAACATGAAGGGATTGCTTTTTGCTTCCTAATACTGTTCACATCTGTGATATCATCCACACAATGTGATTGAATAAATTTTTATATAATGAAATTGAATGGCACATTTTATTTATATATATATATTTTTTTCTTTTCTTTTTTTTTTTTTTTTTTTTTTTTTTTTTGAGGCAGAGTCTTGCACTGTTGCCCAGGCTGCAGTGCAGTGGCACAATCTCAGCCCACTGCAACTTCCACCTCCTGATTCTCCTGACTCAACCTCCTGAGTAGCTAGCATTATAGGCGCCCACCATCACACCTGGCTAACTTTTGGATTTTTAGTAGAGACAGGATTTCGCCATGTTGGTCAGGCTGTTCTCGAACTCCTGACCTCAGGTGATTCACCTGCCTCAGCCTCCCAGAGTGCCGGGATTACAGGCGTGAGCCACCATGCCCAGCCCACATTTAATTTTTTTAAATCCCATTTGGCAGCTGGGCGTGGTGGCTCACACCTGTAATCCTAGCACTCTGGGAGTCTGAGGTGGGTGGATCACCTGAGGTCAGGAGTTCTGCCCAACATGGCGAAACCCTGTCTCTATTGAAAAATACAGCCAGGCGCGGTGGCTCAAGCCTGTAATCCCAGCACTTTGGGAGGCCGAGGCGGGTGGATCACGAGGCCAAGAGATCGAGACCATCCTGGTCAACATGGTGAAACCCCGTCTCTACTAAAAATACAAAACATTAGCTGGGCATGGTGGCGCGTGCCTGTAATCCCAGCTACTCAGGAGGCTGAGGCAGGAGAATTGCCTGAACCCGGGAGGCGGAGGTTGCGGTGAGCCGAGATCGCGCCATTGCACTCCAGCCTGGGTAACAAGAGCGAAACTCCGTCTCAAAAAAAAAAAAAAAAGAAAAATACAAAAATTAGCTGGGCGTGATAATGGGTGCCTGTAATCCCAGTCACTGGGGAGGCTGAGGCAGGAGAATGGCTTGAACCTGGGAGGCGGAGATAGCAGTGAGCTGAGATTGTGCCACTGTGCTCCAGGCTGGATGACCAAGCGAGTCTCCGTCTCAAAAAAGAAAAAAAAAGATCCCATTTAGCAAACCCTTAGCCTTATGCTTATTTAAATATAGCATAGAATAAATATTTGATCTGTAGGGCAGCACTCATCTTTGTTTTGAGCCTAGTTTTTATTTGTACAAAGGCTCAAATTCTTAATATTCATGATGTTTGAAATTGAACTAGGATTGGAATAACCATCATAGACCATGGTTGAGAATATAATTTTGTAGTGATGACCCAAAATAATTTGAGATTTGAAGTGTTGCTCTGTGCGTGCGTGTGTGTTGTTGTTGTTTTTTAAGACAGTCTTGCCCTGTTGTCCAGGCTGGAGTACAATGGTACAGTCTTGGCTCACTGCATTGTCTGCCTCCTGGGCTCACTGCATTGTCTGCCTCCTGGGCTCACTGCATTGTCTGCCTCCTGGGCTCAAGCAATCCTCCTGCCTTAGTCTCCCAAGCAACTGGGACTACAGGTGTGTACCACCACGCCCAGCTAATTTTTGTATCTTTTGTAGAGATCAGGCTTCGCCATGTTTGCCCAGACTAGTCTCAAACTCCTGGCTGCTCCTTGGTATTAATAGAAGCATTCTGAATAGCACACCCAGGTTTTTTCTTCTCTGTCTCTTTTAGGAGTCAGAGTGAAGGATTTCAAAGCAATGGATTTAAAAAAAAAAAAAAAAACAGTGTTGGCTGATGGCTCACCCCTGTAATCCCAGCACTTTGGGAGCTGGAGGCAGGAGGATTGCTTGAACCTAGAAGGTCAAGACTATCCTTGGCAACATAGTGAGATCCTGCCTTTACAAAAAATTTAAAAATTAGCTGGTCATGGTGTTGCATGTCTACTCAAGAGGCTGAGGTAGGAGGATTGCTTAAGCCTGGTGGGTCATGGCTGCAGTGAGCTGTGTTCATGCCTCTGCACTCCAGCCTGGAAAACAGAGTGAGACCCTGTCTCAAAAAATTAAAAATTAAAAACGATTGTTATTGTTATTATTACTATTATTAGAGATAGCGTCTTGCTGTTACCCAGACTGGCCTTGAACTCCTGGGCTCAAGTGACCCTCCCACATCTGCCTCCTGAGTAGCTGGGCAACAGGCATGCACCACTGTGCTGGCTAAAAACCACTATTATTAATCCTGTCAAGCACATATTCCATTTTGGCAAATGTTAGCTGATGAGCTTAAAATTACCTTTGACATTAATAAAGTTATATTTCTATAATATTTTTAGCAAGCAGGTGGTTCCTAGGAGGATAGGAAATGATTCTTCTATGCTAACTTTTCTTTCTTTTTTTTTTTCTTTTTTCTGTTGACGTGCTATACACATATCCTAACTTTTCAAAGCTGAAGTTTAGAACTTATTGGGAGTTTTTCTTTGATGCATGAAAGGATCTGGTTGTAGTTTCTTAAAATAACTCAGTTTATCTCTGTTCAGCCAGTCATTGTTGAAACTCAAGAAAGAGCCACATTTTAGAAAATATAAAAGACAGTAAGAAGCTGGCATTTTTTTTTGTTAATAATATGTGTTCTTCTCTAAGGGAAATGACAAAAACAAAATAGTCTGTACATGAGTTAATAATTTTAGAGCCTTTTCTCTCAGTAGTATGTTTAGAATTTAGGGAAATGGGACAGGTTTGATAACATATCCATTAGCCTAGAAAGATACTTAGAAAGAATTACTTAGAAAGAATCCCTCACCTGTTCTTTAAATTGGCCATTGTATTGAAGCCATGTGTACATTCTTGGAACTGCAGAGCTGTCAAGAAACATCATCAGACATAGTTTTAACCTGGTAATCGTGGCTGCCAGTCAGGTGGTTGTCAGTCAGCTCCTTGGTTCTTATGAAATTCTTCTGCTGGTTTCCATAGAGTTGATGTTCTGTTTTGGTCTGGGCTAAAGTAAGGACTTAGTCCTTTTCACAGGTGTTTGCCAACAGGAAATCAGTGATGCTTCTAGCCTTGTGGCAACGGACTTATAGGAATTCTGAAGTTTTCTTCATTTCATTTCGCAAGCCAGAATGATTGTTGTCTTAGTTTAAAACACTTATGTTGGCTGGGTGTGGTGTCTCATGCCTCCAACCCGAGCACTTTGGGAGGCTGAGGCAAGAGGATTGCTTGAGCCCAGGAGTTTGAGACCAGTCCTGGCAGCATAGTGAGACTCTGTCTCTACAAAAATAAAAAAATTAACTCGGCATGGTGGCATGTACTTATGGTTTCAGCTCCTTGGGAGGCCAAGGTAGGAGGATTGCTTGAGCCCAGGAGGTTGAGGCTGCGGTGAGCTACGATGGCACCACTTCACTTCAGCTTGGGAAATACAGCAAGATGTTGTCTCCAAAAAAAAGTTATATTTTTATAAATATTTAAAAAATAAAGGAAACAAAAATGATGTCTTTGGGAGGCTGAGGTGGGTGGATCACCTGAGGTCAGGAGGTCGAGACTAGCCTGGTCAACGTGGTGAAACCTTGTCTCTACTAAAAATACAAAAATTCGCCAGGTGTGGTGGTGAGCGTCTGTAATCCCAGCTACTTGGGAGGCTGAGGCAGGAGAATCACTTGAGCTGGGGAGATGGAGGTTGAAGTGAGCTGACTTCAGCCTGAGTGACAAGAGCAAGACTCTGTCTCAAAAAAAAAGGAAAAAAAAAAAGATGCCTAGGCTCCATCCACAGATATTCTGAGATAACCAGACTGGGATGAGATCAACTCATTAGTCTTGTTTAAAAGCTCTCAAAGCAATTCTAATATTCATCCAGGGTTGAGAACAGCTGCCCTAACTAATATTCTTCTGATGTCCCTTCCCCACCACTGTGTGTATTTTCTTCATCTAATTGAAAGGTTCTTATGTGGAAGAGCAGACTCTGTCTCAAAAAAATAAAAAAAACTAACAACCAAAAACTTCTTAATAGGAGAAGTTCTTAGTTTCCCTATAACTGCATGTACATTTATATGAGAGCTCCTCACCCTTTTTACTACCCATAGTGTGATAGTTTTGCTGAATATCTGTTAAATTGAATTAAAACACCATAATAGGAAAGTGAAGGGACATGGTAGGCCTTATTCATTCTTTTTTAAAATTTTATTTTATTTTTATTTTTTGAGATGGAGTTTCGCTCTTGTTACCCAGGCTGGACTGCAATGGCGCGATCTTGGCTCACCGCAACCTCCACCTCCTGGGTTCAGGCAATTCTCCTGCCTCAGCCTCCTGAGTAGCTGGGATTACAGGCACGCGCCACCACGCCCAGCTAATTTTTTGTATTTTTAGTAGAGACGGGGTTTCACCATGTTGACCAGGATGGTCTCGATCTCTTGACCTCGTGATCCACCCGCCTGGGCCTCCCAAAGTGCTGGGATTACAGGCGTGAGCCACTGCGCCCGGCCGAGGCCTTATTCATTCTTTGCTTTAGAGATTAAGAAACTGAGCCGGGCGCAGTGGCACATGCCTGTAGTCCCAGCTATTTGGGAGGCTGAGGCTGGAGTATCTCTTGAGTCCAGAAGTTCTGGGCTGTAGTGTGCTTTGCCAATCATGTGTCCCCACTAAGTTCGGCATCAATATAGTGACCTCCCGGGAGTGGGAGACCACCAGGTTGCCTAAGGAGGGGTGAACCGGCCCAGGTTGGAAACGGAGCAAGTCAAAACTCTCGTGCTGATCAGTAGTGGGATCGCGCCTGTGTATAGCCACTGCACTCCAGCCTGGGCAACATAGCGAGACTCCGTCTCTTTTAAAAAAAAGATTAAGAAACTGAGTAACAGAAAAATTAGTGACTGAGGTGACTGAGATACTTTGGGTTAGAATTTTTGCCTCTTAAACATGTCGACAATAATTTTATCTATTAAGCTACCTTACTAAGTAAGTACTTATGCCATCCTTGGTAGTAAAATCTTTATGTCAGTCAGTGTAGCATAAAAAAAAGTGAAAATAGTCATTTATGATCTTCCAAGATTTATCTGTAGCTTTAATGCAAGAAGACAACTAAACACACTAAATTAACACCTTTCACTTTTACCCCTTGCCTAGAAATTTACATTTATTAAGCATGATATTTAGCCACTATGAATAGTTTATAGACAGACCTGGACATTTATAGGTTTCTCTTTGTTGGAAAACTTGCTTAAATAGACCTGTTTCCTCAACCACTGGCCTGGTTTTCTACTATTAAAAGATTATTTAAATTGGTTACCTAGAGAAGATCTCTATGCTGTTATGAACCATATTTTAGGATGGGAGAAGGAAAGCCAGCATACTCTCTTATCTGTGTCCTGGCACATGCTAATCCTGCTCTACCCGGCCTTACCCTGGTTAGAGATGATAGTGCCAAACCACCGCTTCTGACGCAATCATGAGGCTGATCTTCATGCACAGGGAACTGCTCATCTGACAGTAAGCTTCTATTTGGAAGCAAGAGATTTGAATTTGAAAACATTAATAAAGCAAGTCAGGAGGGGTGTGCAGGGGCTGGCTATTTAGTGTACCTGCACAGAAAGCTAGGTACAGATCTTCAGATCTGCAAGATATAGGAAATAAACCCTTACCCAAACCAAACTGATGTCTTCCTCATAGCATAGGAAATGAGGTGGCCGGTGACCAAGCTGACCACACATTTTGAGTGAAGGTGATGATTTATGTTGCCATTCACACTCCAGTAGCTTTCAGAGATGGAATTAAGCTCTTTCTTAGGGAGACCTAATAGGCCCTTAATTTAAATTGAGCCACACTTGTATTTGGTTATAATCTACTGAGCTAGCCATATTAACCAAAAGAGTTGACCTAGCCCTGTCACTGAGACCAGCAACCAGGAGAACAAAGGGTAGTGTGTTATGTGGCCAAAAGTTCTGACACCAAAAATCAGAGCAAGGTGTATGTGGAGAATGAACATTGAGGGTGTGTCTTGCTGGCAACCTTAAGCTTTTAAAATTGCATTATTTTTTCTTGGGAAGAAATAAAGTCTTAATCACTTGAGGGACACTATAAAGATATTTGATTCTTTGGAGATTAGAAAAATGAATTCATCCAAGAACACTAAGGCATAAAACTTGTTAGATAAAAATATACTGACAGATTGGGGAGGGCCTGTTTTACTTCATTGGCTTCATGTGTAGCATTAGTACATATCCTTAATAAAGAAAAACAAAGGCCAGGCACAGTGGCTCATGCCTGTAATCCCAGCACTTTGGGAGGCTGAGGCGGGCGGATCACAAGGTCAGGAGATCGAGACCATCCTGGCTAACATGGTGAAATGCCGTCTCTACTAAAAATACAAAAAATTAGCCGGGCATGGTGGCATGTGCCTGTAGTCCCAGCTACTCAAGAGCCTGAGGCAGGAGAATCCCTTAAACATGGGAGGTGGAGTCAGGAGAATCACTTGAACCTGGGAGGCAGAGGTTGCAGTGAGCTGAGTTCGCACCACTGCACTCCAGCCAGAGTGACAGAGCAAGATTCTGTCTCAAAAAAAAAAAAAAAAAAAAGAAAAACAACATGGGTACTTTAAACTTTTCAGAAGCAAATTCTTGGGTCTGTATTAGAATACTTAAAAGCTTGTGAGAACATGATGATGCTGCTCTAAAAATCAATGAAACCAAAGCAAGAGAAGTTATACAAAATATTATTTCTGATAACACATGCTGTTTCCCCAGGAATCATTATTACCTCCTTTTAGCATATCATGAGAATTGCACATTTATTTTGAGTTTAGAGTTCTAAGAAAACATTTGGTATCTAAAAAAGTATTACATAGCTGGGTGTGGTGGCTCACACCTGTAATCCCAGCACTTTGGGAGGCCAAGGCAGGAGATGTATTTGAGCCCAGGAGATCAGCCTAGGCCGCATGGCAAGACTCCATCTCTACAATAAAATAAATAAATTAGCCAGGCATGGTGGTGCGTGCCTGTAGTTCCAGCTACATGAGAGGCTGAAGCAGGAAGAGCCCAGGAGTTTGGGGCTGCAGTGAGCCGTTGTTTGCACCACTGCATTCCAACCTGGGCAACAGAATGAGGCCATCTAAAAAAGAAAGAAAGAAAAAGTAAAAAAGTATCATATTCTTATTATTGATAGCCTTTCCAAAAAATATAAACATTTATAGAAATATAAAATTATTCAAGGTGTTCCCAGTCTGCTTTATTTCTTTTATAGAATTAAGTAGGCTCCTTTAATCAAACTCATTTTTCTCCTTTGCCTTCAGCCCTTGCCAAAAATAAAATCCTCCTACACCTGTTCACCCGTTTTTACTCCATAACACTCCAGGCAGTTTCCAGGAAAAGGTTGAAATTAAGGATAATGTATTTCCTGCTGACCACCATATTTGTACTGTTGTAGCTGCATTCTGGGCCAGTTTTGTGTTTTTTTTTGCCATCTGTTCTCAGCATGAGACTGAGATTCATATAATAAGAGGAAAGCAAAACAACTAGGTGTTTTCATCTGACTTCTTCCCCAGGAGTGTGACTTATCTTTGCCAATTAGACTCTTCACTGGAAAGTAACTTGAAAGGAAATAACATGCAACAAAATTTTAAAATATTGATTTTGGAGTATTTTCTTCTAGGTTTCTTTTTGTATAATATTCTAAAAGTAGTAAAAATATTTTTTATAGCCTGTTTTATTCACCTAATGTTATATTTTAAGTATTTTTCCAGGATATCATATCCCTCCTCCTCATACAAAGGCAATTTGTGTTTATTGTAAACAACTTGGAAAATAAAGATAACAAAAAAATGAAAATCAATAATTCCTCCACTGTTAAGATTTTGAACCTGCTCCTCCTCTTCCTCTCTCTAGATATATAAATGCCCAGTATATAAAAATACATAGGTTTATATACAGAACATATGTGTGCACTTTTATTTATTTACATTTTTCTTTCATTTCTTGCTAATGTGCACTGTTTTTTTTTTCTCAAGAGATGGGGGTTTCATTTTGTTGCTCAAGCTAGCTAGATGACAGTGGTGTGATCATAGCTCACTGCAACCTCAAACACCTGGGCTCAAGCAATCCAAAGGAGGTGGGACTATACACATATACCATTACATCAGGCTCATCTTTTAATTTTTTATAGAGACAGGGTCTAGCTGTGTTGCTAAGCTAGTCTCAAATTCTTGGCCTCAAGCAATCCATCTGCCTAGGCCTCCCAAAGTGCTGGGATTATAGGCATGATCGCCTGGCCCACATTTTTTTATAAAAATAGGATTCTGCTCCACATAATGTTTTAGTGAATATAAGTTTTAAGTTTTCCATCCATAGTTCTGTTTGATACAACATTGAGGAGCATTCTAAAACTTATTTCAAGGGCATAGTAGAGTCTGTTTGGTGAGGCTTATTTCTCTCAACTATAAAATTGATATATTTCTTACCTCT